GGAAGAGCTGCATAGAGAATTCTGGAGATTTCCAGAGGGTCTCCCTCAAGTGTTCAGCTGCGTTGTGATCAATGCACGCACTGGAGTCCTGACTCTGTCACTTTTGATCAATCAACAGGCCTCTTTTGAGCACCTTCTGTGCACCAAACTCTGAGTAGGGATGTGGGAAGCCAGAGCCAAGGCAGATCTGTTCCTGCCCTTGAAGGGGTCCCAGTCTATAGGAGGAAAGCAAGCTCGTGCACCTGACGGGCACACACTGCCTGGCACACACTGCCTGGCAAGTCTAAGCTGAGAGCCACATGGATGCTCAGAGGCAGATGTGGAGAGAAAAGGACACCTACTGCTCTCACTGTCCTCCCCCTTCCCTGACCCCAGCACTAGGCAGATGCAGGGGTGCTGGGATGAGGGAGGAACAAAGCAGCTTACCAGGACCAGGTCTGCGGGGGGGTGGGGAGGAGCGACATGAGGCCTGATGTTGGTGACTCAAGGAAGCAAAGACTGCCCTCCCTGGGACAGGGACAAGACCCTCCGGCCAGGGACTGGGAGCTGGTACTCAGCCCCGTTCCTCCTCTGTATCTTGTATGATCTTAGAGGTTTCTGTCCTTTCTGAGGGCTGATTTCCTCATCCGACCCTGGGGATGCTCTATAAGCAACTTCTGCTCTGAGGGAGGTTGCTGCTAGCTGAGCTTCTGGGCCTCAGTTTCCCTTGTCTCTAAAGGGGACAATAATTCCCACCCATTCTTGGGAAAGCCTCCCCATTAGGAGGTAGTTCTTTTCCTCCAGCCACTGCCCAAGGGGATAAAGAAGCCCCAGGAGTTTGTGCAGAGGTGAGGGGACAGGCAATGGTTGACTGTCCAAGGCAACATGGGGTGAGGCAAGTGCTTTCCTCCAACTCAGCTTCTCACTTTTATCTCTCCCCAACTCATCCAGAATTGTTAGTTCCCAGAATGCCACGCTCCTTGCTCAGTTCTATCGTTTCTGCAGGGATGACTGAGGAATAGAGAGTGACAGCCATCTTGGCAGGAATGACAACACCTCCCATTCTCACACCTGTGTCGTCCATCTTCAAATGGGACCGCGTACTCTTCTTCCTGTACGGACCCATCCTATAAGCCCTCAGAGAACGGTCTGGCCATGGCGTCTATGTGCAGATTTCATTCACACGCAACTCCTTAGAGGTAGAGTGGCTTCCCTCCCAGCACACCCTCCTGTCTCCTGACGGCCTCCAGAGGGGCCTCTTCACCCCAGTTTGTGGACAGGAAAACTGAGGCCAGCGAGGGAGAATCTGAGTGCTCATCCCGTCAGGAGAGAAAAGAAAGTCCTGGCGGGATTGGGTGTGTCGTGACAACTCTTGTTTTGTGTTTCAGGAGAGAGAACCCAGCAGCGCGAATTGCTGTCAGATGGGAGGCCTCCCCTGACATTCCTGATCCTCCCCAAACCAGCCATGCTGCCTCTTCCTCCCCACTCCTCTCATTCCCCTGTCAACCCACTCTCTTTTCTCTTCCCAGGCACTGTGCCGAGTCTAGCTTGGACGTGTGGCTGCCCTGCTGCCCTGGGGCCCAGCTCCTGCTCAGAGCAGGCCTCTAACCCCTTCACCTCCCTGCTCGGGGCCCTTCCAGGACACTGCAGTGGAGCCTAAGAAAATAGCATCTCCCTGCTGTCCTCTCGTGGCATGCCCCTCCCCTGTCGGGCCACCTCCTGACATCTTTGGCGGCTTGCACTCCCCACCTCCAGGCCCCACCCACCCTGCCTCAAGGAGAGAGCCCTGGGAGGCCGAGCAGTGAGGGAAGGCTGAGGCCTTGGGCACAGACCCTGTATCTCCCCACTACCCAGCCTGCTTTCCTGGCCTATGTGCAGTGCCCTCACCTCCTGTCCCAGGCGTCCCATCCAAACGTCAAGAGCCCTGAGCCCAGCCTCCTCTGGAGGCCCCTGTGCATTCCAGCTAGCTCCCGCTCTGACCCCCCAGCTTCATCAGCACAGGACCAGGCCTCACAGTGCTGTCTCCTGGAGGAGAGTTTCCACCCACGCCGGATCACAAGGCTGGTCCTGCCTCCCCAGGGATCCTCATGCAGAGGGAGGCCCCTCGGCAGGCAGACACGCCCCAGACATGGGCTCTCCCTCAGGTAAGACTGACGGGCCTCAGTCCTGTTCAGAGAGCAGCTAAAGGGGCTAGAGGCCCCCAAGAAACATTTCCCATTTTCCCTATGGAGTCTGTACCCCGTGTAGACTGTGTTAAGTCAGCCTCAGGAGTGTGTCTGCCTATAGAATGAGCATGTGAGTCTGTGTGTGTATGTGTGTGTGTGAGAGAGAGAGAGGGAGAAGTCTGTGTGTGAGAGTAGGAGAGGAGCACGCGTGAGTGGATGGGAGTGAGGTTAGCCCCCACAACCCCCCCGCCGCCCCGCACCGGTCTTAGACCTGAGGAGGTGAGGTGAGCAGGGGTTGAGTGCCATCTAGTGGCCATGAGCTGCACTATAGGCCACCCACCCCTTTACCTCTTCTCTCTCCCCACTCTGGGCCTCTGCAACACAGAAGCAAAACTGATCCCAGATCCTTCTCTGGGGCTCCAACCCCACTTGCTCACCACCCCTACCCCCCACCACAGTCCTGCAGAGACAGACAGAGACTCTGCCCTCCTGAATCTCCTTTCTCTATCCCAGGGAAAGAGCCATGGGAGGGGAGTGAGGCAGGCGGGGCTCACATCTCAAGCTTGGCAGATTAGTCAAGCTCCCTGAACCTCAAGCTGCTTGGCTACAGAATGAGATACGGTATCTACTCCCCAGAATCATAGTAAGGTTTATGTAAAATTATTAAGTTGGGAGGGCTGGGCAGCTACAAGAAGCCATGGGGCCAAGCCTAGTGTTCTCAGATCTAGTGAGAGCTGCCGGGGAGAGCAGCACAGAGACTCCTCCTCCTAGCTGTCTTCCCATTTATCCAGCCGCCCCTCCCCCAGCCGCCCGAACCGCTGCCCCGCCCATCCTCCCGCGAGCTCACCTCCTGCTGGAGGCGCCACCCCACACCTGGCTGCAGGTAAGAGTGGCATGAGCGGCCACCCAGGGCGGTTCATGGGGCCACGTGGACCCACCTTCCAGGCCACCTCCCAGGCCTCCCTCTGCCCTCACCTCCATCCAATTGGTCACCAGGTTCTGCCAATCCAACATGTCTTGAATTCCTCCTTCCCTCCTCTGGCCTAGGGCACGGAGCATTAGCTCTAGAAGGACCCCTGCCCCATCTCAATCCTGCAGTCCTTTCTCTGCTTCCCAGCAGGATCTTTCTAAAATCTAAGGCCAAGTCACTCCTTTACTGAAAACTTTCCCTGGCTCCCCACTGCCCCCGCAGTAAAACCAAACTTCCCAGCCTGGCATTCAAGGCCCTCCCTGGTCTGGCCATATCTTCCCTCTGTCTCTTCATTCCCTGTATGTCTTTGTATGAGCAGTCCCTTCTACCAGGAGCGTCTGTCCCCTTTTTGCCCACAGGAAAACAGTACCTGCTCATCTTCCAGACCTCGCTGCCTTTTCTCTGGGGTTATTTTATGATCCTGCCTGGAGCCCCATGGCCAAGAGTCCCATGGAGTTGTCATGTCCTGTGACCATATCTCCCTGGCCAGGCTGCTAGACCTTCCAGACCAAGGACAAGGACAGTTAGCTCTGGGCCTCAGCACAGGGTCCTGCATGCATGAGGAAATATTTGTGAATTGTTCACTCAGCTGGGTGGCAAGGAGGGATGTGTCACAGCATGGGCCTCAAATGGGATTAAATGTCCTCAAGGGAGGGTTGAGCTGGGGACAGACAACAGATGCAGGGAGGGGGAGCGGGGTCCCTGCAGTGTGCACACAGGGGACTTGTGCTTTCCCTTTGTCCAAAAGCTGGTAGAAGAGGGACACATACACACATTCAAGGTTGGGGGTGGGGTGGATCCCAGGCAGAGAAGCACCTGCGCCAACCCGCACTGATGCTGGGCTCAGCTGCATGTCGTTTGAATAGCCAGCCCCGGTCAGCCGGGGGCCCTGTTGTGCACTGGCCTGCCCCTGCCTGGGTCAGCCTGGGTCCTGTGCTGCGAGAGGACAGGGACAGCCTGGGGGCCCAAAGCAGGGGCTGGGCAGGGGAGGGGACTGGACCCCAAGCTCCTAAGGGAAGGCTAGGTGTCCGAAACCATTAAGCCCAGAAGAGCAGGTACCAAACCGTGAGAAACCAATCGGCTCTGTGGTCCCAAAGGCCGGCACCTGGGGCACCGCCAGTGGTCACAGGATAGCCCTAACCATCTCCTCCCAGCCCTCCTTTCCTCTTTCTCCCAAGAAAGGAAATCCCAGTGTCCAGCACTTAACACAGCAAGCTTTGCTGATCTGGAAGAGATGAACAGGAGAGGAAATGGCGGGGCAGGGGGTGTAGGCAAGAGAGGGGCACGGTCTAGAGATTTTACCTGTTAGAGCCTCCTTATGGTCCAGTCTGGCATCTGCCTCTCTGTGCAGAGGCAAACACTCTCACAACCAGAAAAGCAGGGAACTAAATCGACACAACTCGGGCTGCATCTGGTGTAGAATCAGACTCAGGGGTACTTCTTCGGCAGGACTTATGGGGACACAGATAGGGAAAGCCAGGAGGGGTTTCAGAGGCTTAGGCCCTGGCTGTATGGGCACTCATGACCAGTAGGCCAGCAGACAGAGGGTTTAGGAGGAGCTTTAGGCTGCCTCCCCCAGGCAGCCTCCTTGATTGCTTCAGCCCCTCAATTCTTTCTTTCCAGTCCACAATCTCTGCCAGCCAACATGTCCTCTCACTGCTCCATGCCCAGGCCTCCTCATCCGCCATCCACCTCTAAGACCCTACAGTCTGGTAGAGGACTGGTCCAGGGGTACCCTGACAGGTCTATGACTCTCCTAGAAGAGGAGCTAGGCGCAAGGGGTGGGGGCTCCGGTAGCCAAGGAGTTCTAAAGAGCATTTTCTGGCCCCAATTCTGTTTCCCCCATCTCCGTGCACAATATCTGGAAATAGCCCCATGGGAGAGGGTTGGTAGAAAGAAATAGATTTATTCTCATGTACAAAGCGGTCAGCCCACGGGACCATATACAACAGTTGCACAGAGTCCTAGAAAAACGCATCTCTCTAAAGGCAACTCAGAATAGGTAAGGCAGGTGGCCCCCCTCCCCCCACCCCACAACACATACAGAATAACACAGAGGAGGGAGAAGCCAGCAGCCGGGCTGACCCAAGAGGCCCGGCCCTATGGGGGTCTTCCAAGCCCCAGGGCACGGGTAGATATGGCCTTGAAGAAGATAGGAGCCCTGCTAGGGCTGAGGCAGCCCTCTCTGGCTGCAGGGATGGGGAAGGGACTTGGGCTAAGAGCGGGGGACACTCAGGGGGCCCCTGAAGGACTCAGGGTCGGCTCTCTGCCCTAGGGTGGCAGGGACATTCCACAGCTTCTCCTGGGACTCCACAGAGCCAATGGGACTTTGATCTAAAAGGGGTCTTAGAAAATGGATAGTCTCACTCTCCTGTCTCACCCAAATAGGGGGAGTCACTTGCCCAGGGTCACACAGCCAGGAGGAAGCATTATTGACTCAACTGGAGCCTGTCTTCCAGCCCCGGGATCCTTCTGCCCACCATTCCCAACCTGCTTTCTTCCTGAGCCCCCTCTGCTCAGAGCACTGAGCCAGCCCTCTGGCAGCTTTTGTGTGGGGCCCGGGCAGCTTCCCAGGTTCCAATGCCCACCATAAGTATAGTGGCGATCCTAAGGGGCACCTTCGGCCTCATGGCTATTTCTGGTCATCCAGCAGAGCTAATGACTGTTTCTAAGAGCCACTCTCTGCTCACTGAGACGTCCCACCTCCTCCTTGCAGGAGGACCCTGGAAGAGGGAAGAGGGAAGAGGGAAGAGGGAAGAGGGCCAGATCTGGTGGAGCAGGAACGTGGCCCAGGAGAAACCATCCAGGCTGCCTCAGAAGAAAGAGTGGCTGCGGAGGACTTGCCAAGATGTGGTCAGGGGCGCAGAGCAGGGCCCACTGCTCCTCAGTCACCCCTGTGCTCTCGGAGGACAAATGACAAAGTCTTGGTGAGGCTGGAAGTCTTGCTTCCATTATACAGACAAGAAAGCTGAGGCCCGGGAAGGTCAGTGCTTGCCCAGGGTGGCACGGTAAGTCCTGGATTAGAACCTAGGACCTGTGGTCCAGTGGAGGGCTGTGAGGAGGAGGCCTGGGCAGGGAAGGGTCCCGGGGAGGGGCTCATTCAGCATCAAGGCTGCAACAGCCATTGACGGGGGCCCCAGTGCCATCCAGCTCAGGCATCTCGTACTCCTCGTCCAGGAAGTCCAGCGAGTTGTTGCTCGGGAGGCCGCGGATGGTGAACTTGTGAGACACCTTGGTCCAGTGCTCACGGTTAGAGGCCACGCGTTCGTACAGCTCTGCTGCCTTGGGGAACAGGTCCTGCAGCAGCCTGGGGGTGCAAGAGTGCAGGGATAGGATCAGAAGTCAGACTGTGAGTAGCAAGGGAGATTTGGGCTACACTGCAAGTAGAACTTGCACCCGAGTGTGAGGCATAGGACTGGACACTCAAGGAGAGCATGAAGTGAAGACCCCATTTATGGGACAGAGGGAGACGGCTGGACCCAGAGGCCGCGGGATGGGTCAGCGGGAGCTGGGCAGGCCAGCCCAGCACCTGTGTCTGCCGCAGCCAGCCCCATCCCCCCAGCAGGCTCCCTGAGCTCTCTCACTTGTAGATGGGCATTGCGATGTGCTCCATAAAGCTGATCTGCAGCTCGGGGATATAGGCCTTCTCCCGGTCCATCATCTCCATCGGCCTGTTGCCCATGGCCTTCTCCTGCAGGCGCAAGTTGTCAGGCCTGGCCCCTTCTCCCTCCATCAGGCACCAGGATGAAACTAACCCAGCCCTTCCCAACCCCAGGCCAGGGACCCTCCCCGCAACCTGGACGGCCGAGGTCTCTCCCCACGTACCAAGTCTCCCTGGGAGAAGAACTCTTTGTAGATCAGCTCCTGAAAGGCCAACACTCTGGTCATACTCTGTGCGTGGGATCCGTCCGCCCGAGCTCCTCTACAGCTCATTCCCAAGATGGCAAACTGAGGCATCCCTCAGCCCCACCTCAGGCCCAGTTTGGCCGGGGGATGGCCCCAGATGGGAAGGAGTGGCTGGGTTCCGGCCCCCCTTCCACCAGCCACTGACATGCTGTGTGACACCTGGTGAGTCCATGCCCCGCTCTGAATCTCCCCATCTGTCGCCCTGACGTGGTCTAGGTTTCTGTCTCCCCAGAACTGAGCCAGGCTGAGCTCGGCCCAGAGAGGGTGTTTGGGCGGCAGGAGCCGCACAGAACTGGGCCGGCTGTGAAGCCTGCACCTCCTCAGGGAGGGGCAGCACTTACTGCGATCTTCCTGGTAGTCTTCCAGCCCTTGGTCTGGTCAGAGAGGTCACAGGAGGTCATAAGGAGGCAGAGGAGGAGGCTATGGTGCTGCTTGTTGGTTCGGTCATAACCCACTGTTGGGGAGAGGGTGGGGTCAAGGACCCAGTCCCCTCTCTCTGAGGGCAAGGCCCCCAGGGCCCACCCTACGTGCGTGGTCCAGGAAATCCAGCACCCTGAATGGGAGCCAGAGGGCTGGTGCTGGATCTGCCTGGGTCTGATGGCTCCATGCTGGAGGGGGTGGGTCTAAACACCTGGGGCTGCTCTCTAGGCACATCACCCTCTTGGTGATCCTTCCCCAACCCTGAGGCCGGGGTTAAAAGCAGGCACCTTCAGCCATCTTCTGGAGGTCTTTGAAGATGCGGAGGTGATGGGCCAGGTCGGTGGCCAAGATGATATCCCGCATCAGGTCCAGCATACGCTGATAGTCCTGGGCCGGGGGGCGGGGGGGGGAGGCTGTCAAGACCTCCTGCCAGACACTCCCACCCACTCCCTCGGCTCCTTCTCCTGCCTCAGGCCAGCTCTGGGCTCCCACTCCTTCACCCCCACCCCTGGCCCCGTCACCTTCCGGGAGAAGTGGTCGAAGATGTTGCAACCGTGGGTGTTGAGGATGGCGATGGCCTGAGCGAAGTGGTGTCTCTGTCGGGGGAGAGGAAAGATGGAGGCCTCGCGGGGGTGGGGGATGTTGCTCACTGCTGACCCCAAGAGAGGGAGCAGACCTGGTACAGACCCAGCCCCCCAAGGTGAGCAGAGCAGGCAGACACAGGGAGTCTGGGGACCTGGTTCCCTTTCTGGGCTCTGTTTTGGCTCTCTGTGTGACCCTGGGCAAGTCCTTGCAGGCCCTGAGCCTCAGATCCCTCAGCCGTCACAGGGAGGGACACAACCAGGCAAGCTCTGAGAGCCTCTCAAACTGGAATCATTCTGAAATGATCCCTCGGAGTCCTAGACACGAATTCATGCAGCAAACATTTGTTTGCTGACAAAGAAAGGCAGTGATGAGGTGAGGGCAAGGCCCCTGTCTCCAGATGCTGATGGGCTGTCACTAGGAGGAGGAGCAGGCTTAGCCTAGGGCACAGAGGGCAGAAGCAGGGCTGCCAGGCAGCCTCCTGGGAGGGAGTGAGCCCCTCATCTCCCGGGGGCATGCAAACAGGGGCAGTCTCCAGTGGGGTGTTATGGGGGGCAGCGTGGGGCAAGGTGACCTTGCAGGTTTGGCTTCTACTCTGTGCCAAGCCCTGTGCCAAGCGCAGGGAATTCAGAGATGTCTCAGATTTTGTCCCTGCCCCAGGGAGCTTCGATCTGGATATGGACAGACCCAATCCAAACAACCTAAGGCAAAATTGGGAGTGATGGGCAGAGCAATCCTAGGCCTGGTGGGGTGGGGGTTGCACAGGGCATTCCCAGATACGCAAAGAGAAACATGCTAAATACAAGTCCTCCCTGTGCAGACCTGGGCTCGGGCAAAACCTGCAGGCTGACTCACACCCCCATCCACACCAGCACCCCTCCAAGCCCATCCAGCAAAAGGAGCCAGACATGTCCTGGGGGGCTGGCTACAGCCCTCAGGGCCTGTCTGGAGAGCAGGGCTTGGGAAAGGGAGGAGCTGGGTCACAGTAACTATGTAAGTCACCAGCCTTAAGAGAATGGTGGGTACAGGGCTATTGGGTGGAATGGCGGTACCTCCATGACAGAGCCTTCGGAGCTGTAGAGCGCAGCCAGCACCGATTTCTGGAAAAGCCGGGGAAATCTCCATCACTCCTCCCATCAGATGTAAGTGCCTGCCATATTAGGCTAGGCATTGCCCTGTCCTCCCTGCCCCTCACCACTCTCCCATCTTAGAGCCCATGCAAAGCCTCGGCGAGCCTCCTCCCAGCTCTAAACCAGCTCCTGGTCTCACCAGCTCCCACCTCTCCTCAGGCTGGAGGGGTGAGACTCCCAGATGCCCCCAGGAGGGTGCCCACTATGAGGAGGGCAGAGTCTCACCGAGGCCACCTGGAAGGAGTTGTTTGTGCCTCTGTGGTCCAGGTCATGACACATGCAGGAAATAAACAAGGCGAAGATCTCGATGTCCCTGGTTGTGAGGCAGATGGGAGAGGGAGATCAGCCCCCTCCCACACATCCAGAGGAAGAATGGCTGCATGAGATGTCCAGGAGCCACCCGACAGGAGCTCAGGACACCTGGGTCCCTTTCTTGGGAAGCAGCCCTGGTTTGGAGTTCGACAGGCTCACTGCTCCAGGGGTATGTGACTGTGAGCAAGTCCCACCCAGAAAATGGGGCTATGCAACCTTCCTCACGAGACTGTTAAGAGGGTCCCAGGAGGTGATGCATGTCGAGGGCCTGCCACACTGGAGGTGCCTCCCTATCCCAAAGAAGGGGACTCTAGCAGCTGCCAGACTGGGCGGCCAGTGCAGCCACTCACTCGAGGTAGTTGGAGAGCTCCAGATTCTTGTAGAGCAGGTAGCAGAAGTGGGAGACAGAAAAGGCATGCATCCAGTTGTGGTAGGGGGGATCTCGGTAGCCCTTCTTCACCATCAAGCAGAACCTGAGGGGAGGAGAAAGGGCAGTAGAGGGGCCTCAGGCTCTCCTCCTCCAGGAAGCCCTTCAGGCTCTGCCTTGCCCCGTTCCTTTCCTTTACTCGTGGTCCCAGAGTCTGGGAATTGCCTCTCACTCAGGGATCTGCCCCACTCCCACAGATCGGGCCATTCCCAGTCATCCACAGAGACCCCTGTCCAGAGCGCTGGGGCAATGGATGTGAGAACGGAGGACACAGGGAGGCAAAGCCCAGGGCTGCCTGCACGTGGAGGGGAGGGCTGGGGTGCGCACCGGGCCAGAGTTGGGCAGTCAATTTTGTAGTTGTTGATGAAATTCATGTCCTGCAGCATGCTCAGAATGGCCTGGAGAGAGCAGAAGGGAGGGATCAGAGGGACTGTCAGTTCTGCCTTGGCCCTTGAGGCCTCCAAAATTTGGGAATCTTAGAACTTTAGGTCTAAACCAGAGAACCATAAAAAACAAAACCAAAAACCTAGAGAACCATGAAATGATAGAGCCAAGCATTCTCAGTGCCATGAACTTTCAGAAACGGGATCTAAGGACTCTTGGAACCTAGCTCACACGAAATCTTAGAAACCCAGGGAGGAGGTGCCAACCCTGAGGCCACACGCCCTGGACACTGTTGGCTCTGGAGCAGCTCTTGGCGATCATCCAGTCCAGCCCTGAGCCCTGGGCAGGCCGTGGGGCCCATGCTGGCAGACCACACGCCCACTCCATCCCTGAGGGAGGCTCTCTAGCCTTTGGTGATGACTGTCTTGCCAGGAAGTTCCTATCCACATCTAACTTAAACCTCTGGCTGCACACCCTCTGCCTCTTGCAGGAGGGCCAGCTCACCATGGAAGTGTCATCCTCGGGCAGAGAGCGAGGGGTGTAGGTGAAATTGGCAAAGTTGGAGTCAATGGCGGCCACAGGCTGGATTCCGTCATAGAGGAGTTTGGTGTATTCATCATCAGAGACCTAGAGAGAACCAACCAGGGTGTTAGAAGCTGGCCTCCACCTCTATCCAGTGTCCTCACCCCCAAAATCCCACCGTGGGAGGGGGTACCCCCACCCAGAATGCACCCTCACTGGGCAAGAGATCACTGCTGTCCAGCCCACCTACTGTGCCTCCTTGCCTGTGAGAACCCCCATCTGTAACAGTCTGTCCTTAGCAAAGACAGAGAACACCCCTTCATGAGCCCCCCCCAACAACGTCAGCCTTTCACAGACACTAACTTGAGGGTTCCTTCTTTCGGGGGGGGACCTCCCAGAGTCTAACCTCAATCCTTCCGGCCACAGCTTTGACTCTACCCACAAGTCTAGGACCCTTTGATTTGGACACAGGTGAGAGGAAAATGACCACCACGCACTCAGAACTAAAGCCCGGGACCATTTTTCTGAACCAGAGTCTGGGAATGAGACAGAGTATCAGCAGACTGCGGAGGACTGTAGGACCACTGTACCTAGGGGAGCTGGGGGAAGGGCCCTCAGTGAGCTTCCTAGCCTTCAGTAATTCTCAAGATGGGAGTTCTCCCCGGATGTGGAGAACACCCGGCTGAACCAAGTTGTTCCCTGGGCTGGGTCCTGCTGCCAGCCTTGGGGCTGAACCAGAAACTGCTTGGGAGAGGCTGCCTTGAAGGAGAGCAGGAGACAGGAGGCCAGGCATCGCTCTGGGTCTATCTTCTTATCTTCAAGAGAGGGCAATCAGAAAACCCAGGCTGGTGCTGGGCCCCCGAGGAATTGGGAGGCAGAGAAGCAACAGGTGGGCTGCGGGGGACCCTGGGATCCTGAGAAGGAGGACAGAAGCTCCGTGCAGGCCTCACCTTCATGTGGTACATCATCATCTCATTGGCTAGGTGGCTGCGATACTGGGCCTCATTCACTTTCTTGTATAGGAGGGACTAGGGGAGAGAGGGAAAGATGGGGCTCAAGCAAGATGTCTATGAAATCCCAGAATGCCCAGGAAGGGGATAAAGGGGTTAGATAGAACCTCCCTTCCTGTCCCATGCTGGCCCTAGTCCAAGCCTTCAAGCTCCAGCCCAGACTAGGGAGCCTCCTCCAATTTTCACCCAGACCTCCCTCCCCTTGCTCCTCCTCCTCCCCAGATCCTCTTGGCATTTGATCTGGCACTTTGAATCCCCTCCTGAGCCTGCCCCAGTCTTTAGTCATGGAGCCTGAGTCCCATAGCAGGGAAAGAGAAGCAAGGGAGTGGGAGAGCCTCAGGAACCTAAAGGTTGGATTCTGCGAGTCAGAGCTGCCAATTCTGGACAATGAGACCCAACGTTTCCCAAAAAGAAGCTAACCAGGGGCTTGGGTTGAGGTTCCTTTGGGAAGAGGGTGGGCAATAATGACAACTGGCATTTTCCCTGATCCTAGGAGGCTAATGGGACAAGACAGAAATAGTATCCCCAATTTTCAGATGGGAAACTGAAGCCAGAGGTGACCAGTAGGTACGGCAGCAGGAACAGAGCTCTGAGTCATGGACCCATCTGGACAGAGTCAATGTGGAGAGGAGAACAGAGAGTCCTGCGCCGGCCCCAACCCTGTCCCCACTCACATGGGCTATGCTGATGCCACAGTAGATGGAGAAGGCTGTCGCCAAGTCCTCGTCGAACTTGCTGAACCATGGTCCGTTAATCTTGTTCACCAGCTCGGCCACACCGATGACCTCTGGGGACCGGAGAGGGGCTAGGACCGGCCGGTGGATGTGTCCGGCGGCGTCTGCCCGCCCAGGGTGTCCTCAAGGGACGTCCCGGCCAGGGTCATCCCGGCGGCCTTTCTGCTCCCGGACGCTAGGGCTGGGGGGGACGGGGGGACGGAGTCGCCGACCCTCCGCTCGGCTCCGCCCCATCCTGCTCAGGCCCCGCCCCCGGCCCGGCCCGCCCCGCCCCCCTTCCCGGAGCTGCCCGGAGCTCGCACCCTGGTTCTCGTTCTTGATGGGAAAGCAGAGAATGTTGCGCGTGCGGAAGCCGGTGCTGTCGTCCACGCCGCGGTAGAAAAGCGGGTGCGCGTACGCGTCCGGGATGTTCAGGATCTGGCCGGTGGTTGCCACGTGGCCCGCAATGCCCTGGTCAGCCGGGATGCGGATCTCGTAGCTCTGCCGGGGCGGTGATGGAGTAGGGAGGAAGTCAGCGGCCGGCCACAGAGCGGACCATCGACTGTCCCGCCTGCTCCCCGGCCCCCAGGACTACGGCCACACACGCCCTCCGCGCGTCCGGGCCTCACCTCGTCATCCACCACACCCCCGTCGAACACCTTGGCCACCAGCTCATTCTGATCCAGCAGGAACACGGAGCAGCTGTGGGGAGACAGCCTTGGTCCACAGGGCCCTGACACTCCTCTCCGACCACCCCCACTTCTCACGACTTAGGGCAAAGCCCAGATTTCTGAAGGCTGGAAGGAGTGCTCCGTTATGAGACGCTCCGGAGGGCTGGCTGACTCCAGACATTAATTCATTCCAGTGATTTTTCCCCCCTTGTAGCGCCTACTGTGTGCCAGGCACTGTGTTAGGACCCACTGGGGACCCACGGACAGCAAAGCGAGCCCCGCCTCTGCTGTCATTTGACGTTACTAGTGAGGGACACGGGCATGAAATAAAGGATCACACAAAACATGACAGGGTCCCTCAAGAAGGCAGTGGAGGGGGAAATAGAGGGAAAAGGAAAAAGGGGACGAGGACTGAGGACTGGGGCCTCTCTCGTGCCACCCTGAGGTAGATTCGCTTACATCTCAGCATTGCTGAGGTTTCTGGCCTCTGTGATGATCTCCTGGAGCAAGACAGAGACATCATCTGTGGGTGGGAGAAGCGTGGAGGGCAGTGGTGAGACCAGGCTAGAGTGCCCAGCCCAAGCCCTCTCTCCTCTCCTCCGCAAGACGCCCGCCGCCTCTCCCACCCCACAGCCTGACACGGAGGAGGACAGTTCACTCACCCAGGTGAGTGAAGAGGTTCTTTGCCACTTGGAGAAGAGCCTGGAATGGGGAGAATGAAGATCATAGAGGTTGGTGTTGCAGAGGCGTCACCCTCTCCAGCCCTCTGCCTCCAACTGGGGACTGGCAGGGACTAATTATGTCATTTGGCTACCAAGTGAAGGAGTGGGAAGTATAGCCCCAGTGAAGGAGCACAGTAATCCTGAGCCCCAGATGCTCCTTCACCTCGGGCTCCCGCGGCCCGGACGTTGCTGTAGTACCCGAGGTGAACACTAGAGGACGATCGCACACAGTGCCTGCTGCCCGCGGTGCTGGCCAGAGGAACCGCGGACCTCCGCTTTCAGGAGCCTCCAGGGCACTAGGTAGCTGACTTCAGGCCATCAGTCCAGAAAGGCAGGGCCTTTTCCCTTGTGGGTGACGCTCTGGGGCTGAGAGCCGGGTGACTCCGTCTCCAAGAGAGGCTCAGAGTAGGTGACTCACCTGGCACTCACACTTGAGCTTTTGCTCCTTCTGGAAGGCCAGGGTGCTGGTGAGCACCGTGCTCGTGTAGTGGAAGCAGTGCTGGATCACGCGCTCATCCTGGTCCGTGAACCTGGGGCAGGGGGCAGGGGTCACCGGAGAGGCAGTGGACAGCACACTTGCCTTCCTGTTTCTGTTTGTTTCCATTTCCCCGGGAAGTCCACTCAGAGACGCATCAGCTAACCAGCACTCCCCTCTGCCGGGGCTGCTCGCAGACTGGGGGCTTTCTGAGGGGAAGGCTCTAATCCCCCTGGGACCAAAATGTGTCTTCCTCCTCGAACTATTGTTTCTTGAAGCCAGAGTTATGTCCCCTTCCACTGACTTCAGATTTATCCAGACTGAGCCTGGGTCTCCTCCCTCAGACTAGAGACTTGCCTGGGCCAGAGCCAGGTATTGTCCTGCTCTTCCCCAGGGGCCACCAGCCTCAGGGAGGGGCAGTGGTACTACCCTGTCTTGCCCAGCTCCTGCCACTGGCCTGCTCTTCCAACTCTGCAGGCCCGGATTTGGTGCTGTCGTAAATCGTAACGTGGTTGTGAGGAGGAGCCATCTTACTCATAGAGCCCCATCTCATCTGACAAGATAGCCCCCAGTTTTGCTGAGGTCGTTCAATCTGGCCACTGAATGACTTGTCACCAGGGAGTTTTGTGGGGCTGGATGGACCAAGCTGGGACAGGATCTGTGCTAGGGACGTGGGTTAGCCTCTCCAAGTGGGGGTTTTGGGAGTGAGGGGGAGGAGTACACCTCTGAGATCTTGACCTTCTCTTGGCCCCCAGATTTCCATGCCTAGGCTTCTCCCCATTTTATGGCTGGTCTCAGTGCTCCCCTGCCAGAGTATCCCCCTCTCATGCTGGCTGCCCGATGCTTTGGGTCTAGATCCCTATCCCCACCACCCTGTGTCCATCTCCTCAGCTTCCCTAGCATGGCATGTGAGGCCTCTCAGTCTGGTCCCACTCACCTCTGTCCCCTCATCTATGGGTGTCTCTCATACTAAGCCAGAGATCCTCATCATTCTGAGAAAACCTCAGACTCTTTCACACCTTCACACTTTTCCCCACACTGTTCACTCTGCCTAGAATACCTTTCCCACCCTCCTCCCTCTTGGCCCTGAAAATAAACTTCAAGTCTTGAAGGCAGGGACCATGACTGTGTCACCCAGTGCAGAGCTGGTGCCAGAGAGATAGATGGGAGGTGTTTGCTAAATGTTTTAACTCTACATCTGCCCTGGTCACCAGCCCCCTCACACTCCCAGGTCAAGGGACCCTGGGGTCCTTGTTCTCTGGGCTCCAGGCAGCTTGTCTGCCGTCACTGCTCTGAACTGAACCCCACCTTGGCGCATGCACTCATTCAGCACTCACTCCCTGAAATATGTGGGACCCAGAGATGGCTACAAAGCTGTCACCAAGCCCCATTTCATTTCCCTTCTGATGCCACCTCTCCTCCAGGTCTAGGGCCATCTCAGAGCCCAGTCCCCCGGCCAGCAGCCAGAGGTCACAGCCCCTGCTGAACCCCCTCCCTCTGCACTCCCCTCCTGAGGGTTCTTTCCGAGGCCACCTGACCAGTGCAGGGCTGGACACAGTAGGGGCCAACGTGTGCTTACTGAATGGTGCAAATGCTCCCACCACTAGGATGCCAAGCACAGATGACCCAGATCCCACATCCTCTCTGCCTCAGCAGGTTCTGCTTCACCCCCATCTTCATTTCCCCAAGCCTAGCCACCTGCCTACAGAGCTCTGTGCTGGCAGGTCCTGCTACTCAGGCCTACGACTCCCAGATCTCTGCCTCACCCATGCAGACACTGTGCCCGGGCTTCTGACACCTCTATCGTCCCAACATCCCCAGTCTCCACTTTCTGCAGGACCTCCAGGCCCTCAAGCCTAGTCTGCTTGCTTGAGCCCCAGGGGCCCAGCATTTTGTCAGCATCTCTGCATCCCGGAGTCAGGACTGCCCCCTCACCTGCCTGTTCCCGCCTCCCTGCACAACTCAGGCACACCGCTAGAGCAGCAGGACCAAGTGCAGTATTCACAGACTGAGCCTGCCCCCGGGCCAGTCCTCTAGTGTTCACTCAACTGATCTCCATACCCAACCCACTGTGGCAGGCCGCTCCTGCCAAGTAGTGAGTTGGAGTAGGACGCGAAATCTATCTACGATATCACTTTTAGACCCCAAACCCGACCTCATTTCTTGAGAATTGCTTCCTAAGCCTCTTTACCTGACTCTGCCTTGCCCACCCCTCTGTTTCCTATGATTCCTATAGCTACCCTGTCAGTGTCTCTAAAGTTCCTCAGCTTAGCCCAGCCCCCCAACCTCTTCCCTTTAGCCCCTGTCCACAGTGGCAGTGATGCCCTGTGGGTCCCAGAGAGTTCATCCATCCCAGGGCTCACCACCCCTCCGTCAGGCAGTTCCCAGCAGAAGTGCCAAAAGAGGGTGATGGCAAGTAGGGAAAAGGCCAGTACTCTAAGAGTGGATAATCCAAACTGGAGGAAGTGGGCAAAGAGAAGCGCAACTCACTTGGACCTCAACATGACTTTAAATAAGCCAAAGAGGGTGATGGAGAGTCACCAATGACCTGTGTCTCAGTCAGCAGCAGCTGCAAGGGTCTAGCACCTTCATAATCCCCTAGTTTCTTGCATCAACAAACCATTTGGCCCACCGCTGCCAGGACAGTATCCTCTGCCTGGTGCCCTTCCCTCACTGGCACCCCGGAAGAGCCCTGCCCAGCCTCTCAGCTCCACCTCCTGATCCACATCACCCCACCAAGACTCACAAGCCTCCTCCGAGCTTGTTGAAGGCGCAGGCCAAGGCCACCACCTGGTCAGTGGCCCGGCTGATGACAGGGACGCAGAGCATGGCCTGCAGCTCACAGCCCAACATGCTCTGCAGCTGTTGCACATCCTCCTGCAAAGGCAAGGTGTGTCAGGTGGGGTGGAGGGAGGGAGCGGGCTTCTGTCGCCCAGCCCTCCACCACACTCTGCAATAGGTGGCTCTAAGGGGCTCCTGTGGGATGGGAAACACTACACACGGCGGGGTGGCTTGGGAGAAAGTCCCTGGGGCTTGTCTCCCCCATTCCCAGGCTGCCTTCTCCCAGAAACTCTGTCACTGTGCCTTGTCCAGCCAGGCCATGGCTTACAGAGGTGAGATCTTTCAGCTGAATAGACTTCTTATCTTCCACCACGTGGCCCAGGCGTCCTGTCGTCAACTGGGGAGCGAGGAGAGGCTGAGTCAGGGCTTAGCTTTCTCCAAGGTCCGGGGACCTCAGACTCAACCTCCCTCCCGAGTCTGGAGGTTTCAGCAACTTCTTTAGCAAGTCCAAATGGTGGATAAAGTCAACACTGGAGCGGGGGATGGGCAGGGGTGGAAGGTGGGGTGGAGGGAAGGTCTGCTCTTGACCAGAATCTCCTTTGGATGACATTAGGGTCTTCACTAATTAGAAGAGAGAAAAGCAAACTCCAAAGATTCTCATTGATCTCAACAGATTCTAAGAGAGCCAGATCCAGAAATATTGCAACAGAAGTGAACTGATCCCAAGTAAGCCTTTCTAGAGATTGTAAGAAATTTCTCCTAATGGATCCTGTTCATGAGAGGCTGTGATCTCTCACAACATTTCTAAATAGATTCCAAGATCCAGATAATTCCATCAGATTCCAAGAGATTCTAGCAGAGACCCCAGTCTCTCTGGGCAGATCCCTGGAGCACCTAGCTGGCCCTAACTGCTCCTACACACTCCAACAGCAAGGATGGATGGAGGACTCACCGGAAAGCTGGTTTCCTCCTCCAGCACTTTATCTCCAATGACCTGAGGGCAGAGTGGCGGGGCGGTTAAAGGATGGGCAGGGCCGGTCCCCTCGGAGACCTGGGGCCCCCGCCCCCGCTCCGCCCCGCAGTGCACCTGGGCTCTCACCTTACAGGAAAGCTGGAGATTGTCCTCGGACACCAGCAGGAGGCAGCAGCGAGATGCCTGGGTCTCCTGCTGCAGCTGAGAGGCGGGGACAAAGAGATGGGCTGACCGCGGGTCTGGGGCCACCCCCACTCCCCACCCTCTCGCCTCTCCGAGGCTCCTCTGGTTAAGGAGGGGAGGGGGGCGGGGCGCCGGAATCTGAATGAGAAGGGGGGCTCACGGGGCCCTAGGGCCCTGGAGGAACACCTCGGGGAGAGGCACGGGCACTCACGTATTGGAGGACCTTGAGCTGCAGGGAAGAGGCGTCCAGGTCGTAGAGTTCCCCTGCAGTGGCGAGGCGCGGGTCAGACAGAAGGCTCATAGACTTCCCCAAGGGTGCTCCACCTGCCGGCCCGGCCCATAGACCTCCCTTCCATTTGCCACCCGGCTCCCCCAATCCTGGGTGCGCCCCACCCCTTAGGCCCTTCCCTTCCAGGTTAGATCCTGTCCCGGCCCCGGGGCCCCGGCCCGGCGGGGTCCTCACCGCACAGCTGCAGGATCTTCCGGTCCTGGTCGGTGTACGCGACGCCGCCCTTCTGGTCTCCCGCCGCCCCCGCGGGGGGGTTCTGGACCGCTTCGGAGGCCGCGCCGGGCCCGCGCTGCTGCAGGGCCTGCACCCTCCGCAGGGCCACGAGGGTCTGGGGCAAGCCGAGCGGTCAGCGAGTCACTCGTCCCACCTGTACGGCGCTCGCCGCCTCGGGACTCTCGCCTTTCTCAAACCATTCCCTCGTCCTGCGGTGCCCCTCGCCCCACCCCCGTCCCAAACAATTCAGCCCTTAGCGCTACGCGGGCCTGTGGGCTCCCACTGCCCCAGGAGCGTCCTTCGGTCCTTGAACAACTAAGGACACGGTTTGTCTCCCCCGCTAGCCCCCAGGCTCTTACTAGATAGGGCAGGGTCAGATTTCTTTGTGTCTCTAGCACTCAGGGGAGTTGTAAGTCCTTGTTAAAGTCACAAAATCATAAAATCTCAGGAAAGAGCCTCAATATCATTAAGTACATAGTCCTTCCTAAGTATTGACAAGGTATTTGACTTGCCTGATCTCACTGTACCATACGCAGGTCAGTGCTATCCTTATCCTCCTTTTCAGATGGGAAACTGAGGCTCAGAGATGTTAAGTGACTTGCTCAAGGTCACATAGCCCAAAGATGGTGGACTGGAACCCAGGTCTGTCCAGCTCCCTGGCCAGATCATCTTCCCACCTGTTGTGAAGAGGGTCTTCAGCCCCCATCTTACCACGGCCCTACCCCCACTCACATGCTTCTCCACCGCCTGCAGGCTCCACTCTTCACTGTCACTCAGCTGGCCACAGTGCACCTGAAGGAGTATGAGAGGGGGACCAGCTGTGACGTCCCCTAGCCTCCTGCCCCATGCCCAGCACACACCTGTCCCCACCGACACATACACACTCCAGTCTGCGGGCCTCAATGATAAGCCTATCCTGACCAAGGAGACGGCTCCAGGGAAAATCCCTTCCTCCAGGAAGCCTTCTAGGGCTAATCCAAAGAAATAGAAGTTTTCTGATCTCTGCCTTTTCAGACACTGTCCCACCAACAGCACAATCAAGGTGTCTAGTGAGGGAAGGGGGGTGACCTTGGACCCCTTTCCATCTCCCAGCCCATGGAGCCCTTAGGCCCTGATTATGGAATCAGTGGTATTAGCCTCAGCCTCCAGCTCCATCATTTCAGAGTTGGGGTTTGAGCTGCCCCTGAGTCTGCAGTAAGGGAAAAGGTTCAACATTTATGATGCATCTGCTGTGCCTAAAGAACTTGGGAGAAAGGATGGGTGAATGAATGAATGGAGTGATAAAGTGCTTGCCTTACATGTATGTGATTCTCACCAGCCCAGAAGGCAAGCTTCCACCCAGAGCATGGTTCAAGGCCCGGAAAGGTTGCATTGCCTTGCTCATGGTCACACAGCAGAAAGTGGCAGAGTCTGGGACAGCACCAACCACTCCCAACCCTTGTCTGCCCCATACCTTCTCCTCTCTGGACCTACTTTCAGCCCTCCCACCCCCCAACCTCCATCATCCTGTCCCTCTCCAATGTCCCTGTGTCAATCACAAGGAATACCCTTAGCCCATCTTCTATACTTTGTGAAGGCTCTTCCCCTACCCCTGCTTGGGCGCTTGGTAAGAAAAATGAGAGAGAGAGGGTGGGGGGTGGCAGTCTGGGATCCCACTGCAGGCCCTGTCAGCCAGGCTCCCCACCTGCGTCACCAGCTTCCTGTGCCTACTCAGAGCTGCTCACCACCTGCAGGGCTCCCCACAGTGCCTGCACTGGGGTCCCTCCTTCATCCTTCCTTCCCATGCAGCAGCCCCCGCCCGCCTCTGCTCTAGGTCCCCTGCCTGGGATGGAGTGGGGGATGCAATTGGTGGGGTGCAGAACCTCATACCTGAGGAAGTAGGAGAGGACAGACTGGGTGGGTGGGAACCTAAGGGTTGTGGGGGCTCCGAGGGAGGGCATTGGGGAGGCTTTAAGAAGTGGCACTGAAGTATGGGGAGGACAGGAGGAGCCTGAAGAGAGGGGATGCTGCAGGCAGGGTTGTCCTGATAGGGCTGGCTAGGAGGTGGCATGGGGTTAGGAGGACCAGGGCAGGGGTAGGATCCACGGTGCCACAGGGGGAAGGACCTTGAGTGCAAGGTGAATGAATTGGACTTTAGCTTCATTGTACTGGGGATCCATGGCAGACTTTAGCATCTATGGACCAAAGATGGTGTTGAAGGTTAAGCTCTGGACGAAGTGCCCCCATCTAGGACTCCCACAGGACAGGGAGTTGAAAGAGGCTGGGGGCATGGTTCATTTGTGTATGGCTTACATAAACATGTTGGTATTTTACTGTTAGTAGATGGGGGAGGTTATCCTTCTTGTTCCTTCCACCTGGACCCATCTCTTAGGAGAAGGGAAGATTGGGACCCCTCTAGGGCTGTGGGGACAACCAGTTCCTGGGTTGGCAATACAGCCTGGTGCCAACAGAGAGCTGGGAGACTGACTGAGAGCTTCAGAAGGCTGGAGACAGGGAAGTCCTCCTGTACCCACTGGGCCCCATCCCACCCCAGCGCGAGCTCCTGGGCTGTCTCAGCCCATCCCCAGCCAGCTTGTGCACAAGCCCACATACACTGTCCTGAAAACCCTCAGCACCCGCCCATACACTCACTTTCCCATGGAGTTACTCAGGCGTGTGAGCACACAGAGTATAGTTCCAGACTCAAAGACGTTCACACACCCACACTCACAGCATATACACCATCCATGTGTGCACATTCATACTTGTACACAGGATACATATCCAAGAGCCATGCACACACTCCTGCCCCCCATATGCAAACATACAATCACCAGCACTCACACATGGCTTTTTGCTCATCCACAGGAACACACACCTACTCTTGCTAATCCGGGAGTGTGTCTGGGGCCCAGTGGGAACACTCAGTAGTTCAGTAGTGGGCACTGGGGCTGCAGAGAGGGTTGAAAGCCCAGCACAGCCCTCATACCCCTCACCCTCACCAAGTTCAACATGGCTAATTGCATGAATACCTCATCCTCATGTAAGGAGCTGGTGTGGCTGGCAGAACCAGCGGAGGAATGGGCACAAATCATGCATCAAATGCCAGAGACCAGGGGCCGCCCACTCCTGGGACTTATCATCCCAGAACTGAAGGATAGAGCTAAAGACTCTTTGCACACGAAGAATCTGCAGTCAAGGCACTTGAGCAGCAAGCCGCAGATGCCCAGCCCGCAGCCACGCAGCCCTGCACCTGGCCTGCATAGTCCTCAGAGAGCAGTCCACTGACCATGCATCCATCAGGCCCCAATAGTCCTTACAGGGCTCCCTGTTTCCTTACCAGCATTTTCTATCATCTGCAATTCTATCCTCATTTGGCTCACTTGTTTGATGTCTGTCTCCCGACCCCTCCAGACTGCATGATCTGTGAAGGCAGGGGTCAGTCCCTGCTCCGTTTGCAGCACCTAGCACACTATGCCTTGTGATGCCCAAGAAACAGGTCTTCGATTGATGGATGGGTGGGAGGATGGATGGACAGATGGAAGGATGGATAAATGGATACCGAGAACAGAGACTCAGAGAAAGGAATGGGGCTTGTTGAGATTGGAGCTGGTGAGTCAGCCCTCCCCAAATATCTGCCCTGTGGCACCCCCTTTACCCTTTGTACCCTCTGCCTTCAGGATCTGGTTGCAGCTAGGAGGTCAGGGGCTGCCTGCACTACCTCTGGAAGCATGTGCGATCCAGCGGGACACAGGATCTATCAGATGTGTATGCATGGGGAGAGGGGTGTCCTGGGGAAGTGCATTTCTACCTGAGGCACAGGCTTGGAGGAGAGGCAGGCTGTGAATAATTTAAGTACATTTCAAGAGCTCTTAAAAAAAGAAGAAGAAGAAGAACTGCCCCAGGTCTTTGAGGAGGTGGGCAGCTAGTTGTCAAGACCCTCTCCTGGCCGCCAGAGCCCCAGGTGGCATCTTGCTCAGCAGCGTGCACCCCACACCTCAGCCTCACCGGGATCACTCTTCTTCCAACCACCCTTCTCCCCACCCTGCCTTGGCTCATGCTGTTTACTCTGCCTAGAATATCCTTTTCCTTCGCTGCCTGTCGACCTCCTACCTATGCCCCAAAGCCCCACTCAAATGCTGCCTCCACGATGAGGCACCCCTTGGGGCTCCAGCCTCTGCCGCCAGAGCACCTGCTAGCAGCATTTATTTCATTTGGCCACTGGTAGTCTGAGGTTGTGCCTGCTTTCCCCCAGATGGAGCTTCTAGAAGGCACAAATGGGTCTCACTCCTCTCTCTGCCCCAGCACCCAGATGGATGGGTGCCCAGAGCAGGGTTTTGCCAGAGTGCGCTAAATTTAAGTAACGTCAGCCCCCTCCCCCTCGGCAGCACACAACACATATACACACAGGCCTTTGTCCCTGCAGGTGAAGGCGGAAGCCTGGACCCCTGGCCCAACCTGAGCCAAGGTGAGCGGTCATGGCAGACATCCTCCTGTCCGCAAGATGAACAAACTCCAAAAGTCCTCCTACTCTTGCCAGAGTTGCTTCTCTTCTGACCTGGCCCTCACTGCCCCGCCACAGGAAATCCTTCTCAGGAACCTGGCACCCGCAGACTCTCCTCCCTCAACGGAGGTGGGCAACCGAGTTACCACCTCCCACTGCCCACCTCTGCGCATTGCCCCTAGCCCTGCTCCTCTTCCAAGCCACCAGCTCTGGCACAGATTGGGACCAAAAGAGGGAGGGAAGCGGCGCTGAGAACTCTGTGCCAACAGCAGATCCGTCCCCTGCGGGAACAGAAGCTGGGGGTGGGGGAGCAGCTTGCAGGAGAAACCAGGGGGCCGCGGGCTCCCTCAGTCAGGCAGATGGGGCGCCGGGGAGACCAAGCCAAGCACTCCTTCCTTCCTCTCCTCTCCCTTCCTCTCCCCGCGGCCGCCCCCCCCCTCCCACGGCCCTCCCTCGCCAGCAGCTCCGGAAAGGTCAGGCGCCTCCGAAACCTTTAATTCCGTTTTAATGAGCTCAGGAGGAGTCCCACGGGCACACGAGGACCCCCTCTTCATCTGTCCGCATCCCCGGGTCTGGGCCTTATTGAGGCTGTGGCTGCCTCGGTGAAGCCGACCCCCAATAATGGCCATTTGGGGGCGCCAACCCTCGGTTCCTAGGACAGGACAATGATTCTGAATGCCCATACGGAGAAGGGCCTGAAAGAGCGGCTGAACCAGCCCCACTAGGCTCCGCCAAGCCCTGCCCGTGGCGCAGAAAGCCGGTGAGCTCCGCCAGGGGGCAGCAGAGGGCAGGGGGAGCCCAGGCCTGGGGTCCCAGCCTGACTGCCCACCGCCCCCCACCGCCCCGTCCCAGGCAGCGCATCCCCGCCTTGCCGCTGAAGGCCCTTCCCCTCCATCACCCCCTCCAGGCAGCCCGCCCATCGGCGCCAGCCTCAGCCCTGGGGCTGGATGCTTTCCCAGGCCGCCCCTCCCTGTGGGCCTCCTCTCATGCTCCTGAGCTCCAGCCACAGGAATCTGACTGGCCTTCCCACACTGTCTCTATTTGTCAGCGCCATGGCCATCCATCCTTCCTCGGGGTCTCTCGGGCCTTCTGTGGACACAGCCCCTTGGCCCCTAACCCAGCGGGGAGGATGCCAAAAAGGAAGCAAGGTCAGGGTTGCACTGATAGCTCCGATGGGGCTGAGAAGTGCAAGTGGAGCTTCTACACATCTCTGAATGGTGCTGACTGGGCCGATGACTTCGTCCTGCCCATCCAAGGTAGGGCAGAGGGCTGCGGTGTGGGAGAAGCCCAGACTCCTTCCAGACCCCCATTTCCCGCACTCCAGCCCAGCTTGCTGCTCTACACACACACACACACACCCCAGACAGGCTCCATCTGCTGCTGTTCCTCCCTTGTTCCTCTCCCCACCATCCCACCCCACACTGTTCTTACCAAGATGACGGCTGCCACAGCCCCAGCCTCCTTGTCCACCAGCGGCATGACCAGCACTGAGGGGGAGAGGGCAATGAGGTGGTCCTGCGGGGCCAACGAGGCTCAGAGGTACAGAGCCAAGCCCCAGGGAGGGAGACAAAGACACAGACAGAGAAGCTGGCACAGAGACACAGAGAGACCCAGAGACCCAGAGAGACAGGGGGTTCTGAGGCAGCAATAGAACAACCACAGCAATGTCCCCTGCATGGAAGGAAGCCCCCTCACTTCACAACTCTTCTGTGAGCCCCCCACCCAGCAACCCTGAGAGGGCAGGAAGCAGGTAAGGCTGAGCACCCCTATTTTACAGATTGGGAAACTGAGGTCCAGAAAGGGGAAGTGACTTGCCCAAGATCACACAGCAAGTCAGGTCTCCTGACTCCCAGTCTTGTGCATTTTCCACATCGAGACAGAGGACAGAGACCTAGAGAGACTGAGACATGAGGCAGAGAGACATGGCGGACAGGGGGCGTGGAGAGGAAGAGAAAGAAAAACAGAGACAGTGACAGAGAGAGCATGACAACACTGCAGGCCATCTAGCAACAGACACAAGCACACTGCGGCCACTGGCCCTGGAGCCCTAGTATGTGCCAGGCCCTTAACATGCGTCATCTCATTTGCTCCTCCTCAAAACACCCCCTCAAGGTAGGTTGTCTCATCCCCATTTTACAGATCAGGAAATTGAGGCTCAGAGAGGTTAGTAGCACCTTAGAGAGAGAATTAGTTGGAGGGATTGCTGGAGACATAGGGCAAGAGAAAGAAGGAGACAGAGATGAAGACAGGGATAGAAGACAGACGTGATCTAGGGAGCAGGGACACAGTTCCCCCTGCCCCTGCCCAGGTCCCCGCCCTTACCTTGTGTGTCAGGAGCCAGTGGAGCCACGAGCCTGGCCAAGGGCTTCCCCGGCAGGTCCGCGGGGCACAGTCCGCTGCAGCCCAGCCGCTTCCGGGACAGCACAGCCTCTCTGAAAAGAGGACACCCTCCCACCTCTCAGTCCCTGGATCAAAAAGGAGCAGGCCCCGACCTGGGGACACCCAGCAGGCTGGACCCTGCACGTTTGCAGGGATCTAGACAATTTGACCTGCCATAGGGTGGACATGAGATAAAAGAGATGGGAACCCTGGCCCGCCATGCAGAGGGGCAGGCAGCCACAGTCTGGCCTCTGGTGCCCCTTGCAGGAACCCTGGGGCCCAGCGCAGGTCCACCAGAGCGAGTAAAGCAAGGGCTCAGAGCTAGGCTGCCTACGTTAAATCCTGCTGTGGCTACTACTCAACCTTGGGCAAGTGATCTACCTCTCTGAGCCTCCCAGGGAGAAAGAGTGTGGAGGAGAGTAGAATCCTAACCATCTCCATCCTCAGAAAGCCATTCTATATACCTGAAACTAGTATAATACTGTGTGTCAACTATAAAAAGGAAAAGGAAACATTCTAGAGCAACTTGTGGTGTTAAGCACAGGAGGACTCCAGGGGCAGTTGTTGTAACTAAAGTTTATCCTGCATTCCCTATGTGCCATGCACAGTCCAAGCAACACATATAGTTTAACTCAGAATTCCCCACAATCCCATGAATTCAATATTATCATCATTTCCATTTTCAGGTGGAGGTTAAGAACCTATCCAAGGTCCCATGGTTAATAAGTGGTAGAGTCAGGATTTGAACTCAGGCAGTTGGCACCAGAGTCCACACTCTTTAACTAGTGTGCTTGAACCTTCCTAAAGACTTGAGGGGGTATGAGCTTCCAATGGGATTGGTATGAATGGGCATAGGTGTGATGGAGGGGCAGGGAGGGGAGGTGGTGTAGGAAGAATGAGTTTCTATCTGCCCTCACCACACATACTACCTACCTTTCCCCTGGCCTCTAGCTCTTCCTGCTTAATTAAGTGCCTGATTTTTCACCAACTGTCCCTCCCCGATGATTAATTGTCCTGGGTTCCTCATCCCTCATGCTGTGTCCACTTAATTGTGTTTGCAGGAACTGCCTGGCCTGATGAGAGGAGAAGCCTGGGGGGCTGGGACGCCGGTGTGTGCATGTGGGGTCACTAAGGGGAGCCAAGCAAAGGCCAGATGAGGAAAAGAGAGGGGGTTGGCCTCCAAGTCTCCGGATCGGGAGATCACAGCCTCCAGAGAAATCAAAGACAAAGAGGCTGGGCATCTTGGTAAAGGTCATGCAGCATTCTGAACTGGATCCATTCACTCTTGGCCTATTGATTCAGAATCTACAAGAACCAGTGGTGTCTCCTACCTTCTAGCCCTCACACCCTGGACCATGAGGCTCCACGCTGTCCAACTGTGCCAAACACCCCAGGAGGGAATAGGAATCTAGGGGGGCAGGAGGGCAATGCAGCCGCATTTCCTGATGACCAAATTGCTAAAGACTGGGGCTTCCTGGAGGCAGGGGCCCGCCTTGGTGACCCTCAGCCAAACCGCCTCTTGTTGAACCCACCCAGCCACTTGGCCTCCTGTAGTCTGGTTATTGGGCAACCACAAGGTGGCGCTGGTCTCTATGCTGCTGGTCAGTAAGCTTGGCAGCTTTATCCCACTGACCCCTCACTCCCCCTTTCCCACCCTCCCACCCCCCTGGGCAGACCAGAAGCTGCCTTGGCCTCACACCCCATCCCACCCCATCTCGGGAGCCTGAGAGAGGAGTCTGCCTTCAGCCTTTCTTCTGCACAAAACTCCCTCTGTGCTCATGGCCCCATGACTCTCCAGCCCCACTCTCAAGAGCTCTAGACCCCTGATACCCAAAGGCCTCCTGGAAGCCTGTCCTGGATGTCCCTGACATAGTCAAAGGCACCCAGTCCCAACCTGAACTTGTTCTCTCCACCCCACAAAGAGGCACAACCACCTACCTGGTCCCTTGTAGCTTGTCCACAAACTGTCCCAGCTACCTCCTTCTTCCTCACCTCCCCCATCCCATGGGTGAATCACCTCCCATGCATCTCTCACAACTGTCTGGCATGGAATTAGTGTCGGAGAAGGCTTCCTGGAGGACACGATGCTGAGATGGGTCCTAAAGAACATGCAGAGTTGGGCGCCTGGGTGGCTCAGTTGGTTAAGCAACTGCCTTCGGCTCGGGTCATGATCCTGGGGTCCTGGGATCAAGTCCCGCATTGGGCTCCTCCTGCTCTGTGGGGAGCCTGCTTCTCCCTCTCCCTCTGTCTGCCACTCTCCCTGCTTGTGCTCTCTCTCTCTTTCTCTCTCTGTCAAATAAAAAAATAAAATCTTTAGGAAAAAAAAAGAACATGCAGAGGTTATCAAGGCAGACCGGAAGGGATCTGCAAGCAGGAGGAACCGCATGTGTCGAGACTCAGAGGAGAGAAAGAACGTGTGTCTGCTGGATGGCCTGACTGCAAGGAGGTTAGTGTGGCTGGACAGCAGGGAGCGAGGCTGAAGAGGGCCCTGAGGAGCTGGGCATGATCCTGATGGCAGTGGGAGCCTCAGGACGGACTTGATAGGGGAAGGTGAAGGTCACATTTGCTTTCAGCCTAATCGCTTTAGCTGCTGGGTAAAACTCTCACTGGAGAGGGAGAACCTAAGAGACTGAAAACGTCCTGACAGTGAGGGCCTCTAGTCTCAGTTGTCCCTGGACCAATGAGGAGAGGCTGGGCTGGGGCAGATCAACTTGATTGAGCCCAGATCTCTCACAGAGCACTGGGGGGCCTCCGAGGGGCCTAAACCCTCAGGAGTCCCCACACCTTGGCACCTTGCTCTGCAACCTGCCCTCCCCGGCCCGGCCACAACCCACAGTCCAGGCAGGTCTGTGCTAGGCCATGCTCACCCCAGCCCATGCCCAAGCAAGCCCTTTTCTTCTGCTGCACCTTTCCCAGGACTGTCGTCCTCCTGGAGGTTTTAAAGACACCCACAGACTGGAAGACCAAGGGAAATGCCCAGGCTGAGTCTCCCCAACCCAGATGGGGGTGGGGGCTTTACACTCACACCCCAGTGGTTCCTCCCTCAACTTAGGACCCTCTGCCCTGCCTCATCTCCCCTCCTGACTCCTCCGTCCTCCTACCCCAGTTGCCAGGCTGATGGTGGGGGGTGAGGGACTCCACGCCCAGGGACCAGCTGTCCAGGTTGCAGGCTAATGACCCAGCCCTGGTGCCTGGGTGGTCATGGCTGCCCCAGTGACGATGAAGACAGATGGGCACAGAGTGGGGAGAGGAACGGGCGTGGACTTTATGACGGTTCCATCCCTTTAACAATTATTTGTTTAGTGGCAAGAGTAGAGAAAAAGGCTCTCTGTTGGGAGGGTCAATGGCCTGGAAAGAGCTGAGTGCCCAGGCCCCCTTCCACTTCTATGAGCCCCTTCTTTGGTGAGCCCCCCCACCCCCCACCCCCCAGAGTCTCAATCTCGCTCTGACTTTTCATCTCTCTTGGAGACAAATTATGATTCAGGCCAGGACCTGGACCCTCCTCTCCCCTTCCCTTTCCCTTTCCCTCTCCCAGAATGTGAGACTCCAGAGAACAGACTATTCCCTGTGTCCCTGATACAAATCAGAGGAGCACACAGATTCTGCAGTGCAAGAGGACCAGGTCAGCTCTGAGGAAGAAATTTCTCAAGGTTGGGCCCTGGGACCCCCAAACGGTAGCGGAGGGACAAGCAGCTGGGCTGCTGTGGGCGGTGGTGTCCCCGTGGCAGCTGAAAGGCCCCAGACTTCGCTGCAACCAGCAGCCGGTAATGAGAAGCTTCAAGATCCAGGAGACACAATAAGAGGAAGAAGGCGGCAGGGCTGGGGACTGAAATAGGCTGGGAGATTGAAGGGGCACCAGCATGAGGGAGACGAAGATTTCCCGGAAGGCCCTCCTGCAGGCAGCCTTCCAGGAGCCTCTCCCCTCCAGCCCCTGGAATTCGGAGCTGGACCAGCCCTCACACACTGCAGTGTTCCATCTTGCTGTCTCCCAGGAGCCCACAGAGGCCCAGAGCGATTCCTTGGCCTGGGTCCCAGGTCTCCCGACTCCCAGCCCACGGTTCTTCTGGTGGAAAGACTCATCCCTGAGGGAGGCCACCACGGCCCAGACACCTTTTCTGGAAACCAGATCCCGTATGGAGCAGGCCTCCTAGAGCGCCTCCAGCTGGGCCTCGGGAGATCAGGGAAATGTGGCTGGTTGAGATGGAGCCGCACAGGGAAGGACTCCGCTCAGGAGAAGAGGGCATGAGCCAGCATGAGGGGGTAGGGAACCCAAAACACACCGTGGGGATGAGACTGGGCACCTGCAAGCCCACGGAGGGGAGGGGGCAGTGGCAGGAGGGGCCTCTCCATCCCCCCTGCGCTGTCTCCCCTGCCACCCTCACACCACGCTAAGCCTGTCCTCTTCCTCCCGGGGCCTTATCTGTCTTTATGCCCCACCTCTATTCACACCTGTGCTATTTCCCAGCCCTGCCAGCCCTCCAGGGTTTCCCGGAGCAGTGCCCCCTCCACTGGGCACAGCCAGAGCCTCGGGCTCCACCTTAGCCTGAGGCAGCTCCCCTGTCTCCTGCTGGGGCCAGAATCACAGAGGTCACCGTTCGAAGGACCCTGTACCCAGCCTCACCCATTTTATAGAAAGAGACTGAAGCCGGAAGGAAGTATTTTTCTCAAGGGGTATGGCAGAGCACAGATTTCAGAAGAGAGGACGGACCTAAACCTTCACCCCTAATCCTTGCTGGCCTGAATGAGCTTTGATCACTGTGTCCCCGGGACACGGGCTGCCTCACACCTCTTGCCCCTTGCTAGCCTCTTCCTGGGATTTGAGCCCTGTATCCTAGCAGGTACTCACCTCCCCATCTCCACTGAACTCTGCGCTGATTGCATTGGAACATTCTCTTTTAATTGCCTTTTTTTCTTCCTTATCTTTTCCAAAAGCTTTACTGAATCTGAAGGTGGGGGCGGTGGTTGGGGGATCCTGAGAGGCGCAGATCTGAGACCTCTCCAAGATGCCTGACCGAAGACACCCCCTCCCATCCCTCCTCACAGCAGAAAGCCTCAGGGGAGCATTCTCGGGCTCAGAAGGGGCAGAGCACACCCAGCAGGATGCTCCCCTCCTGCCGTCTGAGCCCAAGGTCCTGCGTCCCTCTCCCAGGAAGGCCTTCCCCAGCCACTTGAAGGAAACTTCCTGGATGGAGCAAGCTTATATGAAGCAAAGCTCTTAGCAGTAGGGCTGCTGGCTCCGAGGAGGAACGGGGATATAATAAGCATTCTTTTCCTTAAGATTCCGAAGACCTGCCAGGCCTATCCTGCCATCTTACAGATGGGACGGTGGCAACCAGAGAAGGGCGCGGCTGGCTTGGTTCACACAGTCCTCGAGGGAAGGAGTTGTCAGGAGATGCTGAAGGGGAGAGTGTCACCCGCCACCCATCCCCTAGGGGAACCAAATGGGAGAACAGGAGGTGAGAAGGCTCTGGGTTGTTGGAGAGGCACCAGCCGCTCCCAGGGGGAAGGGTTGGAAAGAGGCCAGCATCCTGGAATTCAGGGTCCCAAGTGCCGGGAGGGGCCTCAAGACCACCAGCATCCCCAGCACCAGGACCTCTAGCAGCCGCAAACAGCAATTCTTTCCACCAGCTCTGTGAAAGGGGAGTGTCTTGCCGGCCTCAGCCACTACCTGAAAAAGCCATATTCCTGGACGACTTGGCCTGTAGGAAAAGCCGTCCCCCGGGGACTGGAGTGCTTGCTGCCTTCTACTAACACCCCCACTGGTGCCCACGCAGCCCTCGGCTCCCGACCCAGCTCCCTGGGCCCACGCTGGCCCTGCGGTGCCGAGAAGGCAGTGACCATGTCCTCTGCGGCCTGACCTCCTCTGGACCAGCGCTCCTGCCTGTCAACACTTTCTCATCTGACGAGTTCCATTCCCCCTGACTGTCCCCTGAATGGCCAGGAGCCAGGAGACGGTGTCCCAGGCCTGGCTCTGTCTCACACCAGGTATGTGGCCTTGGACACGTCTCATGATGGAAGATAAGGAGGCGGAATTCAATAGGCTCAGAAGTATCAGGGGACCATAGAGCACCGAGCCCTCTGTGCCTCGTGTCAGGGATTCCAACATTCCATCCTGACAAAAACAAAACCAGATACTTAGCGTTTCTAATGGATGCAGTTTTAAGTGCTTTACTTGTGTTAAACTCATCTAATCCTCGAAACAAGCCTACGAGATAAGTAACTAATCATTATTGCCATTTACAAACGAGAACCCTCAGGCCCAGAGAGGCTGAGTGCCTTGCCCTAGGTTATACAGCTAGTAAAAGGGAAGTGGGATTTGAACCCAGGCACTTGGGCTCAGAACCCACAGTAGGACACCTGTCTCTGATCTCTCTGCTCTCAGACACCAGGTTCACACCATGTGCTCCCACAGGTCCAGCATTCTGTGATGCGGTGAGAACCTCCCCGGCAGTTCTCAGAGCCTGCTGGGGGTCTAATGATAAGCTGTAGCTCCCACCTTCTGAGACTGGGCTCTGAGGAGGCTGCTGCAATTCAGAAGAGCTCTCTAGGTTTCTAGAAGAAAACCTACCAGTGGGCACTTGCCCTGTGCTGTCCACTGCCCCAATACAACACGAGAAAAGACATTGGTTCTCCCCTCTATGGGGAGTCAGTGACCCAGCCAAGTGGGTCCAGTGACCCAGCTGGCAGGGAAGCTGAGGTCAAGGGCAGTTGGGGGAAGTCAGACTGGATGACTTTGGAAGGTCTCCCAGGCCTGAGATCCTCGATTGCAGGAGAGGCAATAGGGTACAGAATGGCTCACCGGACTTTCCCCTCCTGGGGCAGCTCGTGGGGGGGGTCCTCACACACCAGCCGGGACTCCCCATCCAGCAGGTAGGTGTAGACAGTCTCCTAGGACAGAAGGTGCTCGTGAGATCCTGCAGAGAGCCCTCCCAGCTGCCTTGTCCCAGTGCAGACGCGGATCTGGGTGACAAGGTCACAGATCCTCTGTTAGTGGGCTCAAGCATTTGTTTTTACTCCCCAGGTGATTCTAACTTGCTGCCAGGGTGGGAAAACTTTATGAACTTACACTTCAGCCTCTCCTCTTGGAGGGGTTCTGGGCAGCCATGAGCCACCTGCTGGCTTTCCTTGTCTATCACCCCAAATCTAAGGTGCTGGGGAGAGAGTCTAAAGGGCTGAAAGTGCAGACAAATCCCACCCATCATCCACCCCAAGATATTTCCCTGCTGTGACTCCAGCCTCAGCAAACCGTAAGAGTGGTCCATTCAGGGCTGTATGGTAGGAGGGGCTCAGAATGCCCTGGAAGCTTCCCCCCTACCTCAGAGACACAAACAATTCTACAAGAAACCACACACTGTGACTGAAGCCAGAAGGACTCCCTGGAGGAAGTGATCTTGAAGCTGTAACTGCAGTGAAAATTAGACACATTTGGGGAATGGATGAGGCATAGAAGAATGGCTTCTGGGCCTGGGCCGAGTCGCAGATAAGCAGTGTAAAGAGCACAGAGCATTTATGGAGCTGACAGTGGAGGCAGGGGGCACAGGAGGTGGCCTTGGGGTCAGCAGGGCCTAGAAACAGAGCTGGGGAGGAAGCTGCTGTGAGCCCTGAGAGAGGAGAGCAGGTGCGTATTTTGGAATGATTGCTCCCTAGAGTGAGATCAAAGCTCTCTTCAAAGCTTTGTCAAGTCTTCAGCTTGTCAGTGTGCCTTCCCCAAGGGTCCAGAGCAGTCTTGGCCTCGGTTCCAGGCCACGTCTTGGCAGAAGCGGTTGCCCTCACTGACCCATGGGTGAAAAGCCACATCCCCTCCAAGCAGGACTGGCCGCCCGAGGGATCCATAACCAACTCCCAACAGCACAGCCTCAGCGGGCGCCCCCCGGCCCCACACTCTGGGAGGGAGGGAGACACAGAGACCAGCGCTGCCCAGCTGGGGGCCCCCACATGCCCAGCTAGGTATCCTGAGGGACACTGTTTTCTTGGGAGAGCGAGGGAGGACTCGCCTCTCTGCTGATGCTATCAGGGAGGGCTTCTGGAGGAGGTGACATTGGAGCTGGGTGTTGAAGGCCCACCCCCGGTATGCATGGAATCCAGTCGAAGCCATTGCCCTTCGACCACTGTGAGTGTCCACAATCCTGCCAGCCACTCTTGCTGTCTTTGGCTGCCCCTGCCCTCCCAGCCCCAGGAGTTGTTTCAGTCCTACTGCCAGAGAATGTGAGCCAGTTCATTGGTGGTGTGGGCTGAGGATGATAGGGCCTGAGAGCAGTGAGAGGGGCAGGCACAGGCCAGGCCTGAAGGCCCCCTGTCCTTCAGGGGAAGGGTCTAGGCGGGGAGTTCAGGGATGGAGAAATCAGTGGGAGGGAGGCCTCTCCTCCTTCTGGTCCTCCAGCCCTTGCCGCAGCCTGGGAGGGGCCTGAGGGATCTGGCCCAAAGAGGTTAAGAGACCCCCCCACCCCAGCACCCAGGCTCACACGGAAAGCCTGGCCCTGGCAGAGAGAGGTGGCTACACTGGGCTTGGGGAGGCGGGGAGGACAGATCCTCATCACTTCCGGATGTCCCTCTGCCTCCCACCCCCTCACTCTCAGCCCTCTGGGTTAAAATTAGCTGAGTTTATTGGAGAGAAGGAGGGAGCCTTCGCAGACACATCAGCACCATCTGCATTCGGGCCCGCCTGCCACAATGGGTGCTGATGAGGAAGCCAGGTGCTGGCGGCTCTCCTCGCTGAGGGGGGTGTGGAGACCCCTCCCCCCTCCATCTCCCTCCTTTCTCTGGGGACAGAGCAGGTCTCCCATCTCCCCCCACTCCGTGGGGGCAGACTGGAACCCTGCCAGTCCTCCCTCCAACTCCCCGGGGGCAGAGCAGGCGCCTCCCATCTCCCCGCCTTCCAACTCCCCGGGGACAGAGAAGACTCTCCCATCTCCCCTCCCTTCTCTGGGGGCAGAGCAGATCTCCCATCTCCCCCCACTTCCAGAGGGCAGGCCAGACCCCTCCCATCTTCCCCACCTCCATTCCCTGGGGGGCAGAGCAGACCCTCTCATCTCCCCTCCCTTCTCAGAGGGCAGACAGTCTCATTTCCTCACCCTTCCCTAGGGGCAGAGCAGACCCTTCCCATCAACCCTCCCCCCACTCCCTGTGGGCCCTCGAGACTCCCTCATTCCCTGGAGGCAGAGAAGACCTCCAATCTCCCCCCACTCCCTGTGGGCAGTTGAGACCTCTCATCTACCCGCCCCTCACTGGGGGCAGATCACACTTCCCGTGTGGATGGGGCGAGGAGGGACCCCTCCTGGAGAGGGGGTGTGCTGAGACCCTCCGTTCAACCAGCTCTCCAAAGTCAGGGCTCCCTCCCTTAGCTCATACAGGTCTCTTGGATGAGCTAAGGTAAACATGTCCCACCGTCCCAGGAACCTGATCGCCTGGACCACAGCTGTCTTCCAAGCCCCCAGCTCTGGGGACACAATTAATCCAGTTCAGGGCATCTATACCACAACCACCAGGAAGCCTGCCTGGGAAGACCTAACTAGTCACCTACTCCTTAGCCCTCCCAGGGCAGCCCCAGTGGCCACAGAAGGCCCCAGGACAGCCTTGTAGATGCTGACCTGCCAACCTCCCCACCCCCTCCTTTCCAGATGTTTCTCCATCCCAGGCCAGATGTTGCCTCAGTCCTGTCCTTCTCTGGGAGGATTTATTTTTGGGCGCCAACACACCACCCACTTCCTACCAATTTCACGCTCAATAAAGCTCACTCATCAGCCCTCCTCCTGGGCTCTGAACTTCTAGAAGGTTTGGGAAGGCAGAGCTGAGGAGAGAGAATGGAGATGCTTAGGTGCCAAGCCCCATTTGTCCCTGTCATGCTGTGTGACCTTGGGTGAGGCACCCCCCCTCTCTGGGCCTCTGGAGGTTCATTAATCAAGCAGATTCAGATATGGTAGACTTGCAGGGGTGGGGGTGGCGAGTGGGGGGGTGAGGGGTGTCACATTTTGGCAGAGGCTGCCCTTGGCTGGTGTCTAGAGTAGGGAAGAGGAGATGCCAGGCTATGGGGACCCAGATGAGGCATCTCCTCCTCCAGGAAGTCTTCTGTGCTCCTTTGGCGGGTTCAGATCCCCCCACCAGGCTGACAGCTGCTTCAGGTCTCAGGGGCAGTTTGCTCGTCCTACTGCCTAAGGGGTGAGCAGTGGCCAACGGAGCCAGGTTGAGGAATGGCCTGGGGCAGCTTACCAGGGCCACAGGCCCCTCACCAAGGCACTCTGGGCCCAGACAACGAAGGGGGCCAGGTGACCATGGGCCCAAGCAGCCACCCTCCACCTGCCCCCAATCTGCAATCATCCGTGGTGTTGGGATAGGTCAGAGAGAAGCCTGAAGTTTTCTAGAGGTCATCTTGTCCAGCCTCCTGTCTCCAGGCACTTTACCTTCACACAGACTCATTCAACAAAGCTATGCCTCTCACTCCAGCTCTTCTTGGACTTGGCGTCAAGGAAGTTCTTCTGCATGTCTACCCTCAACCTCTTCTGCTACATATTCCAAAGCCCACTTAACTCCACTATGTTCTAGCTATTATCCTAGGGGAATCCTTTCCATTATTCAAGACATGATCTTTCCAGTTAGGCTCTAAGTCCCCTTCTGTCTCTGACATTCCAGAATTCCTATGTAAGTTCATTCTTTGGGACTTAGCTTCAGCCCTTCTCTTTCAGGAACCCCTCTCAGAACACTTATCCAAAACCGTCGCTTGCCTACGAGAGCCCTCTGGGCAGGGACCCTGCCTCTTCCTTCCTTCTCAACATTATGTGAGGTACAGCAAGGAGCTGGGCAAAGGTTTGGGGGGTGGGGAGGAAACATGGGGCAAGGCACCTACCACTTTGGGGAGCACGGCCGAGAGGGCCTCCTTGACAGCCCGCTGGAAGCCCGCAATGTGGATGACGGAGCCCAGACTCAGCAAAGCATCCTGGAAGAGAGGAAAGGGCAGTGAGGGCTTTTCCCAGGCAGGCCAGGACAGCCCCATCTGCCCAGGCAGCTAGGAGTACAAACTCCCCACTTAAACCAGAGCCCAAGGCTCTCAGACACTTGAATCCCAGCATCTTAAAATCTCAGAATCCAACAAGTCTTAAGGCCCTAATGTGTCCAAGTCCACTCATCTTAGTGATGGGGAAAGGGGGCTCAGAGAAGGGAGAGGCGCTTAGCAAAGTGCTCACAGTAAGTCAAGAGGTCAAGTCTAGATTAGCCCCCAGGCCTCTTGTTCTTTAGCCAAGGACAACTCTGGCATAGCAGGGAAAGCACAACCTTCCATATGAAAACAAAGCAAAATAAACAAGCAAAAAACCCCCCAATTTGTATCCTGGGTTGGGAGTAGCAAGAGTCCAAGGGGTACATGAGCCCACAAGGTGGGAGAAACACAGTTGGGCCAGCCCCTGGCAAGACAGAGGAGAAAGGAGAATTCAGCCTTGACTGCCTCACAGCCTTCACATCCCAGGAACAGGCCTTGTCCTTGGAGAGCCAGAACAGAGACAAAAAAGGTCCATGCTTCTCACTCTATTAACTTGGCTGAGCCACAGGGATCAAAAAGAAAGGTAATGGAACAGGGGATCCGGGGCCAAGGCAGGCTCATGACTCATACGGTCCACTCAGCCATGCCCTCCCGCTAGCCCTTGAAGTTCTTTTCTGGGATGGCCGGGTCTGTGTTCAAAAAGCAAAATGATTAACCATAGGAGGAAGGAGACATGGCTTGGCCCCCGTTCATGTAAAAATGTTATGAGGTTGAGAATCTTAGTGAACCCCAAGTGCCGCATGAGCCCACAGTGTATGTGTGGCTGGTAATAATTAAAATGCTGAAACTGCAGGCCATATTAATAAAGATCTGTTAACCCGAATAGGGAAGATGACAGTTCCGCCACTTCTGTAGGTGGATTAGATCATCCCCAGTGCATTGTATCCCAAGTAAGGACAAGATGAGACCCATTCACAGGTAACCCATGTAAAGAGGGAACTAGAAACCAAGTCTTGCATGTGGCTGAGGCCAGAGAACCTGGGGGTGCCCAGCCTACAGCAGAGCAGACCCATGGGTCTCCATCTTTGGCTCCAATCTCTCAGGCTCTCCTGAGCAGCAAGACAGGACTCTGTGGCCCCAGGGACAGGCTGGAGACCATCAGGTCTGAAGGACGCTGGCCCTGGCCCAGTGGGATGAAGGACCTTTTTCTAGGCAGAGCCACACCACATAGGCAGAGGCCACCAGGAGAGAGGGAGGAGGTGAGCTGCCTGTCCCTAAGGGTGGGCAAGAAAGGACTCAGGGCCCATTTTTCAGAGAGGCCACCAAGAGGAGTCCTGCGCTGGGATCCAGGGGAAGCCTGGAGTCCAGGCTTCAGCTACAACATTCGGCCATGCATCTTCTTGGCTTTGGTCTTCCCCCTCATCGCCGCTGCCTCCGAGTCCTGTGTTCCCAGGAGTGGGCGGCAACCGCGGGCTTTCTCCCTGAATGCTCACTTGCCATTGTTCTCCCCAAACCCCAGGCTCCCTCCGGCCCCTCCCGCTGCTCAAGGATGAAGACACATTTTAGTCACGGAGATAAGTCTCTGCCCTTGGACATCAGAAGCTGCTAATTCCAAACATTAGAATCCCCCCATTGGATTAATTGTCCTTTAACACTTGGGCACTCCCGATCACAGTTCACACCCCCCAGCACGCGCTACACTGGGCCACAGAGCCACAGACCTTCACCTCTGCACAGAAGCGCCCAGCACACCTGCAGAACGCCCCCATCCCCCACCCCACCCCCACCACCCCCTGCCCAGGTGCACACAGAGGTTCATACAGGGGCAGCCATTTCCTTCTGGATTCACAGGGCCAGGGTTCAGAAGCCTGTCCTTCACTGGAATTGGTGGGTGCCTGTCAGACCTTTGTTCAGATGGGTCAGCTTTCTGTGACTTTTCAGACTAAGGGCAGGACAAAGGTGGGGATGGGGGGACAGCTGTGCAGACAGTATACACGTGGACTACTGTGGCCTTTTGAGGTCAATTCTGCAGACTAAAAGAGGGGAGAAAGAGCTCATGTCCCAAATAATCCCCAAATTTAGTCTGCCCACTCAGGCTCCTCAGGCTGAGGCTCCCAGGTCAGGGCCTCAGAAGGTAGTGCTGGTTTAGGTCTGTTCCTGCCTGGCAGAGGGGGGTGGCTGGGGGGTAGGCAAGCTGAGCCCTGGGGTTCTTGGGCTCCGGTGGAGTCTGATGTGTGTATGCTGTGGAAGTTGGAGAAGAGGGGCCAAGGTGATGGAGTGAGCTCTGCTGAGGGGCGAGGCTTGAGACAGCTAAGTCTCCTCATTTGACGGATGAGGAGACCGAGAGTCAAAGAGAAGCAATGTCCCATTTATGGTCAGCCAGCGAGTCAGGCAGAGCCGGTCCGCAGCCCAGGTCTCTGCATCTCCAGCCCCTGTCCGCCCCCAGCTCCCTCCCCAGGGGCCTTAGAGAGGACAGTCTGTCCTTTGCTCCAATTGGTGGGCTCCTCTACCTGCCCTTTACTTGGATTGGGGGCTGCCCTGACCTGTCCTTTACTGGAATTGGTGGGTGCCTGTCTGGCCTTTGTTCGGATTGGCCAGCTTTCTGTGACTTTTCAGACTAAGGGCAGGACGAAGGTGGGGACGGGGTTGGGGGGGGACAGGAAAGGAAACTTGAGGAGAGTCGGAGCAGCGGCAGAAAGGGGCTTCACAGCCTTGGCCAGCGCGGGCTGGAAGCAGTCATGGCCAATGAAGCCCGAGGCTCCCTGCCTGCCATCCTTCTGCCTATCCCCCTCCTGGCCCAGCCCTGCCCCGCCTGCCCCAGGAGTGGGGGTCTGGGGGGCAGGAACTGTAGCTGGGAAGACCACTCTCATACCTCGCTCTCATAGGGGCCTTCAAGCCCTGAATCTTCCCCAGATCTCAAAGCAACTTCACCTCCACTGCATCAGCTCAGGAAGGAAATAGCTCAGATCCCAAAGCCCATGATGTGGGCATGCAGAGAGCAGAGTGGCTGCCTCCATGAAGGGAGAAGGGAATCGGTGGGAGCAGCTGAGAATGAGCATGCCTCTGTTCAACATACACGCACACACCGTCACACAAACGTGCACACACATAGAGAGAAACACAGCCATATATACAATGCACACACACAAATACATACTTAGGCATGAGTACACACACGTACACAGCCCAGGCTCAGAGTGGGGTGAAGGAGGTCACATTTCCTGCCCTCTCAGTTTTTTCGAACAAACACCAGTATAAATATCAACATAACAACAAGGCAATTTCCCAGACCCCAGGGGAGAATATGTGGTATGTAGAAAAGAGTGGCAATTTCCAGGCCTGTCCCAGACTGATGACAGAAACTCTGTGACCTTAGCAGGCCCCTTTCCTCTTCTGGATCTCAGTTTCCTCGTTAGTAAAAATGGGTCCTTCCAGCTCTGCAACAGATAGTTCTATGGTTCTGTGGTTTAATTCAGTGAGGATGGCTGGCTGGCTGGCTGGCTGGAGACTTCCTGCTTTCCCTGGCTCCCTACCTGAAGCTCTGTGGTTGGAGAGAGGGCCGGTCAGCACCGTAGACAGTGCCTCTCCCCTTCCCCCCCCCCCCCCCGCCCCCCAGCACTAACTCCAGGTACCAAGAAAGGGGAGTCTGTTAGGAGTCAGGGCTCCTCTGAAGCCAGTCCTGTGGATAGATCAGCATTTCTGCACTTGTTTGGGGAGGGGAAGGGTCTAGACTAAATTACTTCTAACTCCCTCTTAATGCTTAGGATTATATGAAGCCAGAGACCTTGGCCTTAGTTCTTCTGGTGCTACCGGTGCAGGGACTGATGCCCATCTTGAGGGTCAGGGTCACTGTCACAAACTGCCCTCCTGTCTTGTCTTCATGAGTCTCTATGTCTTTTCCCACCTCTTTATTTTTGTTTTGTTTTGTTTTGTTTTTTAGATTTTATTTATTTATTTGACAGAGAGAGACACAGCGAGAGAGGGAACACAAGCAGAGGGAGCGGGAGAGGGAGAAGCAGGCTTCCCGCCGAGCAGGGAGCCCGATGCGGGGCTCGATCCCAGGACCCTGAGATCATGACCTGAGCCGAAGGCGGACGCTTAACGACTGAGCCACCCAGGTGCCCCTTTTCCCACCTCTTTAAACCTCCTATTGCTCTGCCCACTGCCTGAAACCTAGAGCTCACCCCTCCCTTTCTGGAAGGAAGCCTCACAGTGCCCCTGTTGGTGGCCTAGAAGAAGGTAGTAACATCAAACCCAATGGTCAAGTCCTCCGAAGACTCAAGCTGTATTACTGGGACTGGCCATATGGACTGAGTCATCCAACTCTGCTTGTGCTAAGTCTCCTGGGTGGCCTGGGGGGTCTCTCTGTGGGCCTCGGTGTCCCCTTCTCTGAAACTTGGGTGTCCCTCAAGATCTCCGGGGCCTTGGAGCCCCTCTCTGCCTCTATTCCTCTTCCCTTCCCTTCCCTTCCCTCTGGGCTGTGTGTCTCTCTCAGGCCCTGTCTCTCCCAACCTCTCCAAGTGGATCTCTCTTCTCTCCATGCCTCCCTTCGTTGATGCCCAGCTCTGTCACAGGCTGCTTTCCTGTCATGTCTCCATGAGTCTCAATGTCTTTTCCCACCCCTAATCCTCTCTCCTCTCAGCTGGCTTCTCTCCATCTCTCTCCTTCACACTCCACCCCTACCCACTCTTATCTCTCCTGTCCACTCCTCCCCCAGACCTCCAGGCAGTCCCCTTGAGAACTTGGGGAGAAAGCACCTGACCCAAGATAGGTACCCGCAGAATGGGAGAAACCCAGGAGGACAGCCATGTTGGGAGAAATTGGGGCTGCCAGGGCAGATGCCATCTACACTCTTCTGCTTCCTGCCCCCTGTTTTGCTGATCAATATATAGTCTCTTATCTTCCTGGAGAATGGGGCCCCTTCTAGGGCAAAAGAGAACTTATCCATTTCTGTGCCCAGG